CCGCTGCCCCGACGGGGGATCCCATGTGCTTTCCGTGTGCGGGGAGGCGGGGGGATTAAGAAGTTTAGCGTGTAGGTTAGCCCAAAGTTGCAAAGGCATGTGCTGATTAGAATAAGAAAGGGCAGTCGCGTGGCTCAGCTGGCACACAGAGAGGCCAGATGATAGATAAGCAGCCCTGGGCCTTCCCTCCCCCCCCCCCATCCCCCTTTTTCAAATCGCAAATCATCTGCTCCAGCCCTATCCTAGCCCCTCATTTTCATAACAATGGTTGTGTGTTTACCTGTGATCCTAGAACCGACGGGGCATTCCTTTGTCTCCCGATGAGATTACCGCAGCCAGCTGCTCTCCAAGCCTTCCCTGGGCAAATCCGAAAGTGGCCCCTATATGTGTTTTACTGATTGCCCACGAGGAGAAAGCGAGCGTTCCCTCCCCCTCCTTCTCCTCTGCACCACTTGTTTGTTTGGGTTTGTTCCCTGGCTTGTTTCCGACGTGATTTTGCTTGTGCGGAACTGCCATGGATAAAATTGGCCACTCGTGTACGTCTGGGCGTGTGTGTGCGCACGCGTGTGCATGCTGCCGTTGTTCCCGGGTTATGGGCTGCACATCCATGTGAGTGCACACACACACACACACACACACACACGTGCACACGCATGCACCGTTGGTGCCGTGGAGACAGGTTCAGTGGGTGTCTCTTCTGCCCGGTGGCCTCCCGGGAGGGGACATCAAGGTCACAGGAAAGCATCTTCTCATGGAATTCTCCAAGGATGACTCCAGCCTGGGGAGAAAGCCGGATTGCTCCTCCAGGGTCTCTCCGCTTCTCTTATTTCTGTTCTGCTGAAACGTACACAGACTGAACTCTTCCAAGCCGTTTCTTTAGCTCAGTTGGAGAAACAAGATGTCACACCTCCCACGTCACTCTTGGGTGCACCTCAGCCTTACATTTAGAGAATTGGCCTCTTCCCCCCACCCCTTTTAGCCCCAAACTCGTTTTCCCAACACATTTACTTACCTACACTAGAAACCACTGACTGTGTTTAAACTTTGTGACCTTCCGAGATTCTTTCCAACCTGAAATAACTTGTCATCCTAAAAATTATCCTATTCTCTAGCACCCCATCAGTCTCACCGAGCAAGCCTGGCAGCACCGAGGCCCAGCTTGCCCCAGTGCAAGTGTCACAGAGCAGGGAGAGGGTAATTTAGCTACCTTTGCGTGCATGAGGAAAAAACATCTGTTACAGCATTTCTCAGAAAAATGTTTTGCACTCAGTTATGAGATTTTGCTGGATGGCTGAAAATATTCCCTTCGTTGACATCCAACTTCAGCAGCAGCACTGCCTGTGTTCACCCGTTCCTATAGGGAAAACTCCTCTTCCCTGTTCCCCGGTTTAATTAATCATAGTCTTAAGCCAGAATGAACTA